TAAGAAGAAAACTGATCTTCATAATGATTGTAACATAAAGCCTTTAATGATAAAAACAAGTGACTTAATTGTAGCCACCATTGCTTGAGCACTTAGTATGCGCTGGGGATTTTATGTCCACTATTGCCAGTGTCTCTGCAGCCATGCAAGATGGATATTATGAAATGATAAATGATTTGCTCTGAGGCAAAACAGCTAGCAAAATGGAAGAACTACGATTTTAACCCTGCCCTCTCTTATTCCAAAGTCCTACTTTTTCTCCCATTCCACACTATCACATTCATTCTTTCATCCTTTAAACAAGAATTGATTTAATGCCTATATGTAGCAGACACTGTTGTAGTTATCGAATATAACACAGTCACTCTTATGGGGTTTATAGTCTAGATGGGCAGAAAGGAAATAAACCAATATGTAACCTACCCTAGTATAATTTTAGGTATGTAGTTATACCTGCTATGAAATAAAAACAGAACAAAGGCACAAGCCAGGAAAGAGTGTTTGGTAATCAGATCAGAGAAGTGTCCTTAGGATGGACTGTTTCGGGCTTTGTCGGCCCTAAGAAGAGCTCAAGATTTACATAGCAAAAGTTCTCTATAAAGAATAGGAACTAAGAGACTACAGAATCCAGGAACAGTTATACAGACATCTTCAATAATATATTCTGTTTCTTACAGAATTCATGAAATCATTCATTTACATATTCTTTTAGGAAAAGTTAATAGAGAACATCCTGTGTATCCGGCATAGAGATGGTGCTGGAGCTATAAAGATAAACAAGACATAATCCCTTCCCTCAAGAGAAAAGCAGAAATGTAAACAGAGAAATTCTTTCATGGATTTTATTCGAAAGGTAAAATGCATTCAAAAATATTTGGTGAGATCCCATTATAACCCTAAATTCAACCACTGTATGAGACACTGAAAATGTAGCATTGAGAGAAGGGAGTCTGAAGAAGGTCACCGAACTCTCCTCAGAGGACACATATGACATTGAATAAAGTTTACCCCACGTAAACTGCAGGGGTCCTCTAGTAAGAGGAGATGGTAAATAGGAAAGCAGGGAGTTGACATGTTCAGGAACAGTGAGAAGGCCTGGTGGGGTAAATGCAGAGTCCAAGGGGAGCAGTGGCAGGAGAGACAACCAGGAAACTTGGTGGGGCTCGACTCTGAAAGATCCGGCATTTAAAGCGTGAATTTAATCAGTAGTCTGTTGATGAGGGACATTTTTAGTCTCCCAGTGTCACATTTCCATGGAGAGGAACTTCCAAATTCTGTGCACCCACCCCTCTCACACTCCTTTCTGGAAGAGAAAGAGAAGTTCATGGAAGATGAATTTGAGGAAGGAACTGAACATGTGCAGTTCAAACACACTTGGTAAGCTCACAGGAGCATGCTCTGTCTGCCCCCACTGGTGCATGACTGGGTCAGAAAACCCGTCTAATTCAGGGGTGAAGTATGAGACCGCTTGCCATGGATCTAACATCACATCATTCAATCAGCTTTATCATTAATAAAGCTGACATTTCTATGCCTTGTAGTCTGACTTCCATACTTTCTCAATTAGTTTCTGATGTGGAAGAAGAGCTAGTTTACCTATTGGCTTTCCTAAAACTCCAACACACCTGTAGAAGGCAGAATAATGGTCCCCAAATGCCTCCACCCTAATGCCCTGAACCTGTGAATATATTAACCTTGCATAGCAAAGGGAACTTTGCAGGTATGATTAAGGTTAAGGATCTTGAGATGGGAGAGTATGCTAGATTACTCTAAGCTAGTCATAGAAGTCCTTAAAAGCTAGAAATCTTTCCAGCTGGGTCAGAGAGAGATGCAAAGGCGGAAGAGTGGTCAGAGAGATGCAACCTGAGAAGGATTTGACTCACCATTGCTGGCTTAGAAGATGAAGGAAGGCAGCCCCAAACCAAGGTATATGAACAGCCTCTAGATGCTGAGAACAAACTCCCAGTTTATAGCCAGCAAGGAAAAAAGGACCTTGGTCCTACACCACAGGAAGATGAGTTATGCCAACGACCCCAATGAGCAAGAAAGCAATTCTCCCCCAGAGTCTTCAGAAAGAAATGCAGGCTAGCTAACACTTTGATTCCAGCTCTGTGAGCCCCGTGTTGAACTTCTGACTTACAGAACTGTAAGTTAATCATTTGCATTATTTTAACCTACTATGTTTGTGGTAATTTGTTATGGCAGCCATGGAAAACTAATACAATATCATAAGGAGCTAATTAATGAGTGGTGGGTTTTTTTTTTTGGTTTGTTGTTTTTAAATTGAAATACAATAGGCATATAACATTGTGTACATTTGAGGAGTGATACGTTTATATGTTGCAATATGGTTACTATAGTAGCATTATCCAACACTTTTATTACATCACATAATTCTCATTTCTTTTTTATGTTGAGAAAAATTAAGATCTAGTCTTTTGAGGAGCCAATGGAGGTTTTAACACAAGAGTGTTGTTACTCGGAGGGAGATGGTAATTCCGATGGGCAGTAGAGTCTGAGTTTGAAAATGTTTGCATCTCTTGGCAGCATTTGGTGATGGGATACAGTGCTGGGGTAAAGGAGAAATGGTTTTCCAGCATGGGAATTGGGTGGATGGCCACACCATTAACCAAGATTGTGACTCCAGAAAGAGAAACAAGTTTACAAGAGCAAACCATGACCTCGGTATTGATACGTTAAGATCGATACGTATATAAGGCCTGTAGGACATTCCGGACAACAAATTTCCAAGCTGGAAACAAGTGTCTTCAGGAAAGCAGAGACAGTGAATACATTTAGCGTGGATAATGCAATGCAAAGTGAGAAATAGTAACAACTGTAGATCTAGTCATGATGTGGATCATAAAAGATTTATTTTAAACGATTTGCTTGTTT